GAGATAGGAAGAGGAAGGCATAGGGTGTTCACAGAACTCCAGTTCCTGGGAAACAGCCTTGCTGGTGAGTTCATTAACTTTTCACCCACATCACTTTGAAGATGATTTTAATGAGCCATTTATTGGAAGTTTGTTAAGGGTCTATATTTTGGGTGCTATATTTTTATTGGCTTCCTTTTTATAAAAAGGCAAAACCAAAGTACACAGCGTTCAGATGACTTTCTTAAAATGGGAGGCCATCTGAGTCACAGAAGTAAAGTTAAATTCTCTAAGCTTCCGGTCCCATAATATCTTTCTTTAAATACACTTTTGTCCTGCAGCTCCACTTTCTCAAGATCACAGGATGATTCTGTAGGAAGAAGAAAATCCATCTGACCTGCCTACACGACAATGAAGCAACCTCCTTGGAACCCATTTCTTTTCACACTCCAAAGAAATCATGTTTCAAACAACAGAGGTGGCAGGAATTTGGAAATAAAACAGAAAGTTTAATGTTCTTTTAAAAATTCAAAAAGCAGCATTTCTTAAAGTACAGCTCAGTAGTGTGAGGCCACATTTCAATATTGTCTTGCTTTCTCATTCAGACTGGCTGTATCTTAGTGTATACTATGGGAAGGAGAAAATAGCAAGTCATCATCACACCTGCCTAAAAATGAATGACAAAATGTTCCATAATAGCAATGAAAACCATTAAGATCTATAGTTGTTCTTAGATGACTTAAGAGGGGCGTTCTTTTGTAGTCAAAGGTGGTAAAAACAGATGAGATGAAGGCTCCAAATGAAAACAAGAGAACTAGAAGAGAAAAACAGAGGAAGAATATGACACAAGAAAACAAGAGTAGTTTAAAATCCATAAAGCAGAGGAGGACGACAGAGCCCACAGGACCGTGGAGAGAGAACTCAAGAACTTTCTTTAAGAAACGGGAAAGATGGCTTGAGAAATGAAATGACTTCTTTGTCTCAGTGTGTGAAGCTGGGTAAGTGGGCACAGATGCCAGAAACAGGCACAACTGCCAAAGGAGGAAGAAATAGAAAATTGGTTTCCTGCCAGAACAGGTGGCGTGCTGACATGTGCATGGATGACAGGCAGGTTTCTGAAGCTCTCCAAGGGTCTGACCAGGCCAGCTGATGGTGTCTCCAAGACTTCAGGGAGCGGCCCTGCAGGGGCCCCAGAGATACTGTTTCAGGTGTGATTGCATGAGAAACAGCGGTGGTGGGGAAGGCAAGTCATGTAGCAGCCTGCTGTGAAGCACAGCCTGTAGGCTGGACCAAACTCTTTCAGAGTTCACGGTCTGATATTTTTAACCATCCATTATAGGACGAGAGCCAAATGTCTGGATAATTTCAGGAGCAGGCAGATATTAACTCACTAAACTCCCTTTGACCTTCTTGAATACTGTGGAAGCTTTATCAGGAATTTCTTTTTTCTTTTTTTCTCTTTTGGTTGTGGTAGCAATAGTAGGGAGTATGTGGGTGGGTGGGTCTCAGATTGGAAAAGAATATGGGTGGTAGGGTGAAAGGCTGATATTCAGTTTTCCTACAGAGTTTGGAATCTTGTTTTGTTTAGATAACTGGCTTATAATATGACCTGTGAGTGGGACTCTGTAAATGGCACACTTATCCAATCATAAAAATATTTAAATAATAATCTGGGGCTAGCCCTGGGGTGAAACTATCAAACAAAATAGTGATGTCTTGAGAATAATGTTTCTCACCCTGTGGTAGAACTGAGGGGCAGTAGAGTTGTGGTTAAAAGCATGGACTTAGGAATAAAACTACTTGTTTTTGAACCCCTATCCTACTGACTTACTGTGTGGTATTGTGTGTTAAACCTTTGAGGCTTCATCCCCTCAGCTATAAAGCAGGGATAATCATAGTGCCTATGTGGGGCAGAAACACTGTTGCAAATTCTACTACACACACTTTTTCTTTTCCTTGCTGGGAACAAAGGAAAATCACACTTCCCATTTTCCCCTTGCATCTGTGTGGGAAATGCAGTGACTAGTTCTAAACATTAGAATGTGGCCACAAGCAGTTATGCCACTACTGGGAAGATCTGAAAACCTCCCACAAGATTTTCCATGTTCTTTCTGCCCTCTCACTGTCTGCTGACCAATTACAAAAGATCCCACAGAGGACTGTGAGGACCCCATAGCTGTTGTTGCCTCCTCAAATCACGACTGTCTGCCAACCATTCAGCTGCCTGTGATGTAAGCACAAAATAAACCTTCTGTGCCAAGCCACTAAGATTTAGGGGATGCTTGTTACAGCAGTTTGTCAGTTCTCATGCTATCTCAAATATGAGCCACTCCTGAATAAAGCTATATTGTAAGGTTATTGTAAAGATTAACTGTATTACTATATATAAAATTATTAGAATAGTATCTGTTATATAAAGTGTTTGTCGTTCAGTCATGTCTGACTCTTTTCGACCCCATGGACTGTAGCCTACCAGGCTCCTCTGTCCATGGAATTCTCCAGGCAAGAATATTGGAGTGGGTAGCCATTCCCTTTCCTAGGGGGTCTTCCTGACCCAGGGATCAAATCTGGGTCTTCTGCATTGCAGGCAGATTCTTCACTGTCTGAACCACCAGGGAAATCCTTAAACTCTCAATAAATACTATTTCACATATCATAATCAGTATAGAATTGGCCAGTTGGTTGTTAGTTGGTCCATTAATTCTAAAAATTAAAAAATAATATTTGCATCTTCTTAGCAAATTTGAGAGGCTTCCCTAGTGGCTGAGTTGGTAAGGAATCTGCCTGTAATGCAGGGGAAATGGGTTCGATCCCTGGGTTGGAAAGATCACTTGGAGAAGGGAATGGCAACCCACTCCAGTATTCTTGCCTGGAAAATCCCATGGACAGAGGAGCCTGACCAGCTACAGTCCTTGGGATTGCAAAGAGAGCACAGACTGGGCCACCTATACCTCACAGTTGTTAAATCAATTCTGTGATATGCTTCAAATAATCACCTTGGGTCATACTGGGCAAGATAGTGTATTTGAGTGGTTGGAAATCTGCAAGAACCTCTAAGTATAAGTCATTCTGACTGTTTGGAGATCCCTTTCCATATTAACCTAAGATTCAGATGGATGACAACACAGCCTCTAAATTCTGATTGGGAATTTTATAAAAGAGAAGTTACACCAACTAAATACTTGTGCTGAAGGGTTGTTAGGAGTATAAATAGCATATGCATTGGGTGCAGCAGCCCAGAACATAACCCAATTTCAAGTGCATGCTAGGTATCTAATATATATTAGCAATAACAACAAATAAAAGATAATTGTCACTATTATTTGAAGACATAGTTTTTTTTCTTAGAACTTCAGGAGTCTGTCTGCTCTATACTTTCTACCTGGGGCTCTTGGGAAAGTCACTTTATATTCTGAGGATGCAGCTGTGGCCTTATTACATAATGCCATATTCTCTAACATTTCAGTTCCTTTTTCCCTACTGCAGTCAGAGGCCATTACTTGTCCTTATGCTTGCTCAACCTAATGAGATGAACTGGTCCCTACCCTCTTTTTAACATCCTTTACTTACTTGCAAACTCCACACTTGTGTACTATTGAATATCAGGCGTTAGATATGCAATACAGCACAGAGATCTCAGAAATAATTAGGCAGTAGGAGGTGATATTTTTCAAAGACACATCAGTCTCAATCCTAAAATTCCCTTTTCCTCAGTAGTTCAGGTCAATAGATAAAGACCTTAATGTTCCTTTAATGTGGAGATGAGCAAATCTGGCTGCTTTTGGTTCTGGCAAACTCTTTCTGGCTATTTTTCAAGCATTATATGGCTGGCAACTTCGTGGATATATTCTGCCAAAGGCCTTCTCTCTTTAACCTCTAGGTGTATATGTATTTCAAAGGGAATTTAAACCTTGAATTTCTGACTTATTCATACTTTACTGATCAAAACTGCCACATTTGTCGTAGACAACACTTATAGTTTCTAAATTCTGTTTCTTTGACTCAGGAAACTTGAAGAGGTTGGCAGCAACCACCTCCTGGAGAAGAAATCAAACCAGTTTTCTGGGTCTGGAGGCAACTAGTTGACATCTGTCCTTCAGACGATATTTACAATCTTTTTTTTATCTTTGAATTCTAAGGCAAGGGTAAAGAAAAAGATGTAAGTGCTTTCAAACCACTCTTAGCTGGTATCAACTTGAAATTTAAAAGTCCCAGAACACCTCAGTGGGAGAGGTCTGGGGGCTGCAATCTGGTTAGAAGGGTGTAGGTATGGGAACCTCACCCTGGAGCCCAGTTTACACAGCACTTCATATAAGTCTGAGAAAACATCAGCTGTCCATATTTTTAAAAGGACAGTGGTAATGTGGAGGGGAGGGCAGGGGTGGATATAGTAGTAATGGGGATTCTTGGTACTCCTTCCAAGCTACTCCTTAGTACTCTTCCTGACCTGACAGCACCACACTTTGGACAATATTTGGGGCTGATGTTTCCAGAAGCAAAAGGAAACACTCAAATACTGGTTAGGTAAAAAGTGGCAATTAAAGGCAAATCTTCGCTAAAAGGATGCAGACATCAAGCATGCCAAACTCACAGGTTGGTTAAATGCCCAGGTTATTTGGCTGTGATCCATTCCCCACCCTCCGCCCCGGCAATATTTTATAATATTGGCTCTCCTCCCAAAGAGATGACAGAGCATCTTGTGAGTGTTCACAGAGGACTTCACTCTGCAAATAGTCCAGGGATAGCAGTCTCCTGGAAAGGCAAGTTAAAAAATTCCATAGGTTTATTTTGGCTGAATATTGCCTAGTACAGGATGGTGTGATCTTACTACAAAAAGATAGGAGGTAGCCTTAGACTGTCAGAAAACATAACTATGCAGATGTCTATTGATTTACAAACCAGTTCAAATTAACATTAAAGAGATACACCTCCTGCTCTAGTTTCAGAGGACACCCATGGAAAATAAACTTTAAATTTATAAACAGAACATATTTAAGACATCTGCTGCTTAGCAATCACTGAAATTTATTACATTAGTAGGTTATAACTTCCAAAGACAATTATCTTTTTAAATAAAACCAAGAATGGTGGGAAGAGCCTAATATGGCCCCATGACTCCTGGTCCTGTGTTCTGGGCAGTCACACCCTCTGTACTCTGCTTCTCTTGTGTACGGGGGCACTAGATTTACATCTAACCCAGCAGAATGTGGCGAAGGTGATGAGCTGTCACTTCCATGATTATGTTGTGTTATTAAGATTCTATCTTCCTAGCAGACTGGCCCGCAAGGCAAGGGACCGATAGCAGCCTCCAGAATGGCTTCCAGTTGACAGTTGGCAAGAAGTCAGGGCCCTTGGTCCTGCAGCCACAAGGAAATATATTCTCTCAACAAACCGTCAGTGACCTCAGAAGCAGGTTCTTCTCCAGGTAAGCCTCCAGATGAGAATGTAGACCAACAGGCACTCTGATTACAGCCTTCTGAGACCCTGAGCAGAGGACCCAGCTGAGCTGAACCTGGCCTCCTGACTCACAGAATCCGTGAGACAATAAATACTACACCAAATTCTATCACAAGGTTTCTGCTACTTAGAGGTTTAATGCTGAATAACCGAAACGACAGCTGAGCTGTGTAGTCAACTTATTAGACGACACAGTGAACCACAACTCTGCTACGGCCACACTGTGCCCAGTCACTCAGTCGTGTCTGACTCTTTGCAACCCCATGGACTGTAGCCCACAAGGCTCCGCTGTCCATAGAATTTGCAGGCAAGAATACTGGAATGGGTTGCCATTTCCTACTCCAACTGCCAAATCACCACCAAAGTAAAATGAGCGAAACAGTTTGTCAGGGGTATTCCTTCTCCCTCTTCCATTTCAGCATAGTTAGAAAGAAAATCATAGATAATGATGACCTTTCTGTGCCTTAGGCACTTGGACACCACGTGCCTAAGTACAGGATGGAGTGCCCTTACTGCAAACAGATAGGAGGCAGCCTTAGACTGTCATGAAAAACATGGGTCAAGGGCCACGTTTTGTTGGAACACATAGAACCGAACACACTAAAGCTTTCCTTACCCTAGAGGTCACTAGTAGAATTACCTTAAGGCCCTATCCAAATATATAAAATGATTAGGACAGCCCACATACATTTGCACTTGCATCATCAGTAGACTGTGAATTGCAATTGTGTTGCACACATTTTTCAAAATTCCATTATGCCCACAGTGAAATCCATACTCCTTCCTATGACGTTCAAGGTCACAGAATCTGGCAGGGCCTTCATCTCTGACCTCCACGCTAGCCTCTTTGTTCAATATTTGCTCGGCGATGGCCTTCTTTCTCTTCTTCAAGCACACAAACCAGAGTCACGTCTACCATCCGGGCTTCCATCTAGGACACTCTCTGGAAATCCCACGGCTGATTACTCAGGCTTTACTCTCAATCATCCCCTCCCTCAGCAAGGCCTTCCCTAATTTTCCCGAAGGCTCCATTCCTGCCCAGTCACTCTCTTTCACATTAACTTATTTCCATCAAGATATTAATACTACTTGAAATGACCTGCTTATGGATCTACGTGATGATTCTATCTCTCACTAGAATATGATTGCCATGTAGTACATGCTCAATAAGTATTAACTGACTGTATAAATGAAATACAATTTGCTTGTTATAACAAGACTGTCAATTCTTAATTTATTTTCCTTCTTTTCCCCTTGCTCACCCTTTCACAGGTCTGAAATCCCACAGCAGTTTCGCCACCAACCCAGCCAGTGTACTTCACACACCTGTACACACAGCACTCAACTGTGTATCTGAAAGGAAACAGAAATGGGAGAAGACGTAGTTCTGCCCTTAAGGACCATACAAAGTAACTGGGCAGGAAGATGCAGTGTACGTAAACTGATTAAAATCCAACTACGAGGCACTCACCACAGTAACTGGGCCAAGCTAAATATGAAATGACTTAGGGCGTACTGAGGAAGGGAGTGATCAGAAAACTTCTTACAGGAGCGGATTCTTGAGACGGAAGTGTCTGTGGAAAAGAAGGGAAGGGCATTCAGAGTGGGGGGTGGGTTGGAGGGGAAGAACGAGGGGAAGCCATTGAACCTCCAGAATTTATGCATCCATTTCTCAGAGAAAATGTATCTCTAATCCAGAACTTGCTTGAGTTTTGCATTCACTTTTTTTCTAACTTTTTATTTTGTCTTGGAGTATAGCTGGTTAACAAATAATGTGGTAGTTTCAAGTAAGCAGCAAAGGGACTCAGCTATACATGTATCCATTCTCTGCCAAAACTCCCCTCCCAGCCAGGCTCCATATAACATTGAACAGAGTTTCATGTGTTATATAGTAGGTCTTTGTTGGTTATCCATTTTAAATATAGCAGTATGTATATGTCAATCCCAAACTCCCAAACTCTCCCTTCCTCTCATCTTTCCCATGCGGCAACCATAAGTTCATTCTCCAAGTCTGTGAGTCTTTTTCTCTTTTGTAAGTAAGTTCATTTTTACCATTTCTTTTTAGATGGAACCACTTAAAAAAAAAAAACAAAAACAAATACTGGCCTCTACCTAAACTGAAGATATTAATATTCTCCTTAACTCCAATAAGTTAGACTCTCTGAAGGCTGGGCTTAGGCTTGGTATATTTCAAAAGGTACTTACGCAGTCAATGTGCACCCTTGGTAGAGATCCCTTGCTAGCCTGAAATGCCATCACAGAGTTAAATTGATGAGAAATGCCCCAGGACAATAAAGGAAAACAGTGGCAGATAGCAGTTAAGGCTCTGGAGTAGAATAGCCTCGGTTCAAATCTAAATCCTGCAACTTACCTACTGGGTGACATTGGGCAAGTGACTTAACCTCTCTGAACCTCTGTTTACACATCTATAGGCTGAGAATTATAAATGTAATTACTTCATAAGGTTTATGGAGAATTAAGTGAGATATGCTTATGAAACACCCAATAATATGCATGGCACATAGTAAGATACTAGCATTATTATGTATGCCCCCAAATTCTTCATTTTTCCTAAAGGCACTAGAAAGTCCAATATGCATTTCTGAAGTCTTTGCATCCATCAGCTTAACAAATTATTTGAAGTCTGACCACAGCTTTAATCTAACACACGTGAATTCAAGCACATTTAAGCAGGGTCACAAAAGAGTAAGACAGGACTGAGATAAGTCAACCTGGGGGCAAATGAGCATTTTAATGGAAATTGAAATCATGAGTGATGGGCCAGCAGCCTTGGCCTGATGAAGAAACTGGGAGCTCACAATGTCAGAACAACTCTGTAAAAAAAAATTATAGGACATTTAAATGAAACATAGCAAAGATTTTCCATATTACTTGGATTAACAGCACCATCCTTTCCCCACCATTAGTGTGGACCCAGCCTTAGAATAAAAATCATATCCTGAATCACTCTCTCTCTACCTCTCCCTGGGTCTGATCCCTTGACTCCAAAGTTCCTGAACATATGTCCCACCTAATATTTTTAGGACAAGTCATTTGAAAGTTTCCCAAACATTTTAAAACTAGCAAGAGGTCAAGAATAAAACAATGTAGGTCATTTATACTTATCAGTGAAGCAGTTAAGTGTAGAGAATTCACTGCATAACTTTGTTTTCATATTTCTACAGTATGTTTAAAACGTGTACCCTGTGATGACACAGCACACAGATTTGAAAATCTTGGGCACATAGACCTGAAGTCGCAAAACAGAAGAGCTTTAGAAGCCACAGGTTTTAAAGACCACGAAACAAGAGGGCTGCCAGAACAGAAAATTGATAAAAAGCAATAAAAGCACAAAGAGATACCTCATCAACAATTTCAAATCTTCTGGAAAGTCAAGTAAAATTGGAGTGGAGAGGTTTCTTTTCAACAAAGCCACGTGGTCTTTGGTGATTTTAATTTCAGTTGTTGTAGTTGCAAGTTCTAAAATATATATTTGGTTCTTCTTTTATAGTTAAAAAAATGCATGCCTTGAATGTTCTTAAATGCTTAGAAAATAAAGTGTGGAAAAGTATCCTCCAATCCTTTGATAGTGGTCATTTCTAGATGAACATTTAAGGTGACTAAGTTTTTAAAGTAGTCTGTTTAGCGGCATTTGAAATTTGTATATAAGCATTTATTTTTGTACTATTTAAAAATAAATACAATTCTAGATGAAATAAAACACATGTTTTACAGAAAGACCTTGGCCCTTTTGGAAATAAGTAAGCTTCAAAACCGCCAACCCCTTCAACTTAGTCGAGAAAGGGTTGTCACTGAGTATGAATTTTAAATATTTAGTGGGTTGGGATAAGCCTTCTGCACTGGAAAGAGAAGATGAAAAAGACTCCTGGTTAGAAAAGGACAACCTTTCTGGCTCCCCTTGGGTGGTTTTGAGGATCTCAGCTCAGCTTTCAAAGGCTAACCAGTGACATGACAGCACATACTCCCTTGCACATGTTTGTGAAGTGTAGACCTCCAAGGCCGGTAAGAAACGTCCTCCTCCGCAAAGACTTAAGTCTCCATTTTACTCGTTGAATCAGTGCTTTTCATGATTCCAAAGGACTACCATTTAACTTTTTTTTTTCCCTCTTCCCTCATTCAACTCGGAAACATTCCTTTCTGTGGATTTTCATGAACCCCTGCCCAACACCAGGTGCAAATTGAAAAAATCCCACTGGCCAATTTCAGCATAGGAAGGCCTACTGTTCTTTCAACAGAGCCCCTCTTTCAGGCCAGGAGTTCAGATCCTTGCCCCTGGGCATACAAGTCAGGGTTTCACTTTCATCCACAAGCGTCACTCAGGAAAAAACTCCTTCTCTGTGGTCGCAGCCTCTCCAGACCCCCCAGCTGAGAGGCTCTGATACATCTGCCTGTGTGAACCTGGGCATTTGCCAGGGAGGAAAGCCAGAGGGATTCCTTGCTGATCCTACCTTTAAATGTTCAACTGTCCCCGGCTCAGACATGTAATTTTCCACCCGCTGTGGTTTATGTGCAGTTGACATTATCACTTGGCAAATACTTTACAGAAAGTTACCCTCCTTGGTTTGCAACTGAGAGACTATTGGGTGGTCTTCCCCACTTGGGACACTCCACAGATGGATCACAGTGTTACCTCTGCCATCAATGTTCCAGCAAGGACCTGGGTGCCTTCAGAAACTGGAGGGTTCATATAAGAACTCAATTCTGGTTTCAAGTCAGCACCTTGTGGCTTGAGCAATCATTCAGTTAAATTATATTTTATAGGCCTGTATTGAGCATCTACTTTGGATTAATTATCTATGGCCACCCAAATTACTAACACCTGCTATTGAGTTGCATTGCTACCACCATATTGGGTGGTGGGATTGTAAGATTAGGACTGGGGTCCACACTGCCTCCAGCCTTTATATAAATGTTTCCTCCTCTGCTAAGGGGCATAGGGTACACCCAGGTATCAAAGTTCTACTGTTAGAATTTTCCTGATCAGAATTGACTAGATATGTCACTATGGACTCAGCAAATGGACACGGCATCCAAACTCCCCATCTGAGGTGCAAAAGTTGGGGGGGGGGGGTTGGGAGAGTGTCTTCTGCTGTTTTTAAGAGTCTGGGCTACCCATCATATAGGTCAAAGAAGCAGTTCAGATGGCATCTTGAGGAAGAAGAGATACTAAATTATCAGACTGTAGATGTTACATAAAGCTCCTGGTTTTACTCTGCAAACCAGGTGTATCGCTCAGAGTCCTACAGGGTACAGATGGTCCACTCAGATTGGGTCATTAAAGACCGTTCACAAAGGCCTGGGCAGGGTTTCAGGGAACAGACAAGGGCGAGGCAATACGCCATGGCCAGCAGCAAGGAAAAACTGCTGCTACCGCTAGAGACCCGAATAAGCAGGAAGGGGGAGAGGATCCCAGAGGCAGGAAAGGATACTTCTAGGCAGAGAGTTGCCTGTGAGGAATTGTAGCTTTTTGGTAGAAAGACCCTAACAAATCATAGCAACCATGCAGCGGGGAGCCCAGAAATAAATGCCTCAACTCCCTGGCATCCTCCTCCCTGATCTCCTGCCAGTGACTCCCATTGACCAAATCCCACTGGGGGCTGGAAGACAAGGCAGCTTGGAGTGCATGGGCGCAGCCTCCTGGGGCACATCTAGAATACCTAGTTTATCCAAGTGCAACACAACACAAGACTACAGTAAATATGTTCTTTCTTGGAAGCTAAAAGCAAATGTGTAGAGAGCTGATGCCTGAGCTGGTTTACGCACAGGTAGAAGTGTCATATAGGTGGAGCAGAAGGCTGTGGGGAAAGAAGCTTCAGAAAATAGCTGTGTAGGGACTTCCCTGGTGGTCCAGTGACTAAGATGCCATGCTCCCAATACAGGGGCCTGGGTTTGATCCCTAGTCAGGGAACTAGATCCCACACGCTGCCATTAAGATCCCACGAGCCATAAGTGAAGATCCCTCACATGGCAGCTAAAAGACTGCATGCCGCAATGAAGATCAAAGATGCCAACTGCCACAAGTAAGCCTGGCATAGCCAAATACATACATAAATAAATAAATAAGCTCTGTGGCTGAAGCCTGGAATGTAAATGCCATGTCAAGTAGGAGCCTGGAGAAGGAGAAGGGGGCCAGGCTCTGGAATCCTATGCTAGGTTGTGGCATTGGGATTTCTTATGGATTTTAAGCAGGGAAGTGTTATAATCAGACTTTCATTTTAGAAAGGCTGTTAGCTATACAGAAATGGGATGAATGATGCTGTGGGGCTTCTAACTTTTTTTCTGGAAACAGGTAGGGCAAGGAGATTAGATAATCACAATAAGTGAAAGAATTCCTTCTGACTATGACAGTCCCAGATCTGGTCTTGGTAATAGCTGAGAAGGAGTCAGTACAATTATCCTCCTTCCTAACACTAACAGTTATTATGTTCAATTATCTTTGCCAAAAGATAGTCTTCCTCTTGTTTCTAATGTTTTTTTCCCTAATCTACAGATGTTCTTTGCAACAACTTGAATATATCACACAAAAGAACCAGGCCCATTTTTGTCACAAGCTGTGAAGACCCCTCCTTGGCACTTGAGGCTCCCTCTGGCTGATTTTGTTGCTAAATTCTTATACCTTTTAAATGCCAGCCATATTATTTCACATTAAAATATGTACACAGTGTAATTTCCCCTGACTGTGTTGTTAATTTTGATTAATTAGATTGCAACCTCTTTGAATGCACCATGCTGAATCCTGTTGTGTGTTCCTCACTGCCACCTCAGTGCTAAATGTGTATTTGTTTTTTCAAGAGCTTATATGATCATTCTTTACCTAGTAAGCAATTTGTGCTTTAAAAGGAGGGGTGTCTTATGACTCACTGTTGTGTCTCTCTTCAAAACAATCTATGCCTTTAAACACCACTATGAGCCCGGGACAAGTATTTAATTTTTAAAAAAGTATTTTGAGCATATATAGTACACAAGGACTAGCTCAGATAATCAATAAAATGTAATAATTTGGAACATAAAAATAACGAAGTTCAGGCTAATATATTAGTGACTAAAAATGACCCACTGTATAACTGCTTCCAAATAATATTTTAAACTTTGCAGAGACCTTCAAAGCCAAAAGGTGGAGGATGAAATTTTATGTAGGAGTTTTGAACCCTGTAGGGGGCTAATGAAGAAGGTATTTTTGGTTAGGGAAGCTTTTTGGCATTTGTCAGATTATACCAGTCCTTGAGGATGAGATGGTTGCATGGCATCACTGACTCGATGGACATGAGTTTAAGCAAACTCCAGGGGATGGTGAAGGATAGGGGAGCCTGGCATGCTGCAGTCTACTGTGTCGGAAAGAGTTGGATACAACTTAGTGACTAAGTAACCAACTGCAAACCAATCCCAGCACACAGGGCTGCCAGAAGTCTGGACCGACTGAACTGTCACCTCTGTGGAGGCTTTCCAGATGAGGCCCTGCACAGTCTCAGAATCACTCCAAACTCAGGAGTATTTCTACAGCTAATGCTCCTTAAAAATGTGATTTCCAGTCATGCTCTTCAGAATAACAGGGAATCTTGTTAAGCCTGCATCCCATCAATGGCATCAGTGGTCCAAATCTTGATGTTTCACGTACATCTATCATTTCCATCAGATTGTGAACTTCTTAAAAACAGGAGCCATGTATGAATAGCTATATGTCCCAGCTTGGCACACCACCAGGAAAACAGTAGATTTTTTATTAAATTTGATCATTTTTGCACAATTTGAAGATGTCCCTATGGATCACCATATTCAAATGCTCATCCCTTACACCCAACCACTGTGTTCTTGGTATCTACTGCCACACGACAAAGTACCACAGAGACGGGCACAGTGACACCTCCGAAGTGTTCTATTGATCAAGCAGCCGCAGAACATGTCCAGATTGAAGCTGAGCAGACATAGACCTCACTTCTCATTGAGAGAGTGTCAAAGAATTCGTAGCCGTCTGTAAACTACCACATAGCCTACACCAAAGCCTGCTAAATGAAGAATGGCTGTAATTCCTTCATCTGGCTTTATGGTCCTTTCAAAGAGCCAAATAAGGAAACCAGACATTTCACTGGTGCTGAATGGAATAATTGGCACTCCTCATCCGTCTTAGGGCAGGCTCAGAGATTGAAGCTTCAAAAGTGTTATAACCCCCTGGGAACAGACCTAAAGTACTGAGCCCAGGGATCTTCTACCATAAGGATTCCCTTTGCTTGTAACTTTGGGTCCAACTCTGGATGTAGGAGGTTGTTTCTCTGGATGATTCTCAATTGGAGAATCTCCTCTCCTTATTTTGTATGGTGGCAGCTCTCATCCATCCATGTGCCGAAATAACACACATCTTGTGATCCACTTCCCATAACAGAGATATAGGACCTCACCACCCAATTCAATGTCTGGAACAAATGCATGA